AATAATTTTCTTCCCAGCTGGTTTTCAGAAGCTGAATTTGTGTCACAAAAATATTTCCAAATTGAGAAAGCAGTGTCACACTTTGTCCAAAAAAAATTCAAGCATCTACGTAAATGACATGGAAATTCTATTGTCCTTTCTTGCACACAGTTCCAATAACTAGCGATAATATTGACAATGACTGTATAGCATATGAATTGAATTCATGCCAAAGGCAAACAATCTTTCGACACCCGTTTTTATTCATGCGATGCTGTGTATTTCCTTCATATTTGAACTGCGGAACCTTGTATATGACATTTTAGTCCAATTTACAGATTGCGATTCATACTACACTAAAACTAACTTGTTTCTATTTAATATTCAATAAGGTTTAAATTCACACCTCTTAAAAGTTGTTGAGAGCTCGTAATGGCTACAAATAATGTATGCATTTATTATGGATTGGCACAAGATCAAGCTCAATAGAACACAAAAGTTTATGGAGCGGGGTCTTTTATACTACAGGTAGTGATATTTAAATCTCAATCTATCATTGTGGAACTAAATTGTTCTGCTACAAAGGCAATCAATGAATCAATATGACTAAAAATTGGTCTAAATCATTTCTGCTACTTTAACGATGTTTAAATTTAAAATGCAACATCATACATATGTCAATTCAAATACCAATACCTTTTTATTTATATGTAGTACATTTTCCAACTTTATATAATTTTACTTTCAATAAAAATTAAAATGCAAGCAGATCAGTGAATGTTTCCTAGTTTAGTCTCTGTTTAAATTTCATGCTTAATTTAACAGAAGGGAATCAATGAGCATTTAAATTATGACATTAAACATAATATTTAAATATATAATATTATGTTGACTGCATAATAATAAAAGTCTTGGAAAATCATTAAAACATTAAAAATATGATTTAAAAAATTTTCACTAGCCTGACTATCAGTTAAGTGGCAGAAGAATACAAAATAGTCAGCATTTATTCAATAATGTAAATAGAAACAATAAATGTTTTTAAGCACTGCACTGTATTATAATTAAACAATTAAAATCTCTAGAATTGATAAAAAAAAAATGAAGTATCTTTAAAAAAAAATTGAAAAAAGAAGAGACAAATTAGTGACGAGAAGAAATGTACACCCAACAAATTTCTGTAGAATATGTGTGAAAGGGTTCAAACAAAGTAGAACTTATTACACTATTCACACATACCACGTATATTAAATATATGTGTGAATATATTTTGAAATGTTCATTGAAACTTCATTGACTTCCTTCTTATCGGCTCATTATTTATTTAGTGGTGTAAAATCTCTTTACATAACAATTGGGTGGGGGAAAAAAATCGGGACTACTGCAAATTGATCAAAAAATTTTTTTCCAATTCATGAACCTAATTTAACTGTGGTGAGGGCTTGTCCAGAGACACATATTATTCTAACTACCTTTGTCCTAAATAGAACGTTCTATCGTTAAAACGATATTGTCTTCAATGTCTTGCAGACCCCTTTTAACGATATAGAATTTGTTCTGTGTAGTTCAATGTTGCAAATTAAACAAGGGCAATACATCAAACTCAGACTTGTCGAAATCCGTCGGTCCTGTCGGCAAGGCCGGTAAAAATTTGTTGGTGATAACATTTATATAACAATTGGGTGGGACCGTTTGAAAAAAAATTGAACGTAATGCAAATTTAATAAAGGTCGGGATCGGGATGCTTAGTTAAAGGTCACAAACTCAGAAAAAATGGCCGCGTACGCAGCGATGTTGACGATAGCTAAGTAAATTTCTTATAGCAAAGTCATAACAGGTGTCATTTATGTTAAAGACTCTTTATCCCAAGAAAGGAAACTTATTAGATTGAAGGCTATTGACAATAAAAAAGGTGATTTTGGTGCTGTTATTCATATGATTTTATCAGCATCAAAATTAACGATATAAGTATTTGTTCTGTGTAAAGTTTGACTGGTCCGACAAAACATTCGACTTTGTCAGACCAAATGTCTGACAGTGATTAAAAAATTTCGACAAGTCTGCAAACTCAGTGCATTTATTACGGTGGTTCCAAATGTTTACATGGGAGGTAAATTTGAAGCATTAAGAAAAGAATGTTGAAAAAATTTATTCAATTTTCATTTTTATTTGGATATTTTTTTAGATGAAAAGCTGAAGCATATACAATCTCAAAAAATTTTATCATAATTTTGGCAGTTATTTTCAGTGCAACTCCTTCTGTATAATTTAATTAGTCCCTTCACGGTAACTGCAATATTACGTAGTCTTCTGCAGGACAAATTAATAACGTTTGGTGGAGTTTTTCTTGATAGATAATCAAATGACGTATTTTAAACAATTATTTTTTTGTCATATTTCACCACAGTATATCATTTTGCCCTGCAAAAGAGAAGTACTGCAGTTATCCTGAAAGGGTCTATATTGTTTCAGAGCAGATCCATTCGATTTGCTACATTGCAAGTATATGGGACGTACTCTAACTGTAGCAAGGATTATTCAAGTACCTTTTTCCACACCTTACAGTATCAGAATTTGAATACTACGCTATAGATCATTGAACTGGATGTAGATTTACTTGCATTCATCAATTTCTTAGTAATCTCCTTACACTGAGTGTTGTTTCTTGCAACTCTTTCGACTAACATGTCTTTATTATAAAGTTTATAATCTATTAGAACAAGTTTTTAGGTAAATTTATGAATTTGACACTGAAAAGCCAGTAAATATTTTGAAATAAATAAACCAAGCATTGGATAGCATTAACCCGTTCCTTTTTTTATCAGATGTGTTACACATTTAAATAATCCATGCAGATTATTTACGATGACAGAGGAAAGTTGGACTAAATTAAGTGGGAATTCAATGAAAACATAATGATTTTGCTCTCTGTCGTAATTAATTCATAAGTTTGATATATATCGAAGTTCCTCCTTCTTTCAAAAGTAAATTTGCCTTACCTAATGGCTTTTTAAAAGTCATTTTCATGTTGCATCGGGTCGTCGAACATCCATATTGTTTAAATATGGCGAACATGCAAGGCCTTTTCACAACGTCACATGTAAACAATGCACGTCCGTTCTATTCACTTTGATATGCAGTACTTTTATCGATGAAAATACTGAAAATGGTATAAGTAGGTCAAAAATTATGCGTGATCTGATTGGAAAATCAGGAAAATTCCTATGTAAAATGAAAAATTAGTTCAATAGCGTAGTAATATTGGTTGATAAGTCACTACTAAAGCCAACAATTTGATTGGACAAATTTCCCCAGTAACGACTTACCCCTTCCGCACTAACAATATGTTCCACTCGATCCCAATTTTGTCGGATTCTTGAGAAGCTTCTTTTGCAAGGCAAAAATTTATGCATTTTCAGCCCTTGAAAAACAGCGAAATCAGCATTATAACAAGATAATCCCCTGACTTGAACATTTTTTTTACGCTAAAATTTTCAAAATTTCCCTATGCTTTGAAAAAGTTACTTTTTGGGAGTACCTTCAAGTTTCGTGGTTTTATAAATTTAAGACAAAGACCCCAACTGGGGTATATGAATACAAATGATACAATATTTTACATATAAACAAGAATGCATGAAAGAATGAGTGGTACTAATGTTATTTACATGTACAATTCACATGTATAGTTCAAATAAAGAAATACACCTTCAGAATAGGACGAATTTAGGAGGTTATCCTTATACATGTTATACGTGATAAATTATCAGAATACATCCACCCTTTCCAATCTTCGATTATTTGCAGTTTTCGCAAATAAAGTCGAGAAATAGAAACATAAAAATTATCATTTCGAAGTCCACATTTTGTAGTAAATATGAAAAAGAAAAATCCCAAGTTTTTGCCTACCGAGATATCAATTATTATTATTTTTCTGTATTGTTCCAACTATCTGATTGGTTCAAACTGGATCACATGATCAAGTATAAAAAGTGTTACGGACTGGATGTTTCTATTTAACGTCAAGATCTAGTAAATAACTTGAGACTAATTTTTTGGTGCTAGATCCATTATGACGTCATAATCAATTTCGACTTTCTTTTTCCCGTACTTTACGGCTTTTGCAGAATTATGTAGAAAATAAGGTGTTTTCATGTCATTCAATTTGAAATCATATGAAAACTAAACCGGATACCTATATTAAATTTGATATTGATTTAAAGAAGAAAAATACTAATTACCGTTTTCTGAGAGACTTTCTTGCCCTTTGCCGAATACAAAAAAAACTCCCATATTCATGGCTATTTTTCTTAATTTTTCATTGAAAATGACAGTTTAAAATACAGTTTTTCATCTTGTTTACCTACAAATTATGCTTTTTGACCAAGCTAAAGTTGTACAGCATCAATAAAGGAATTTATTTCTCAAGTTTGATAAATCTGTAAATTTAGGCTGTTTCTAAATTGATCCATTGTGAAGCAACAATAGTGCTGACGTCACAATACTCTTTATAGACTGGATGTTTCTAAAAACAGATACTGTAGCTGGTTTTCGTTACTGTGGCGTCATAATGCTATGACATAACAATGCCTTGTATGAGAAGGTACTCAGTATTATAAAGAAGGATTTTAAGACATGTCTTATTAACTGATAAAAAATAATAAAACAATTGTAGCCTTTTGATTCGGTACAATCCCTCGATATATAGACAATCCGCACTTCGTTTTATATATCGAGGGATTGACCTCATCAAAAGGCTATAATTGTATAATCGTAAGCTTTTTTGTGAAAAGGGCAAAAGGGCTGTGGTTTTGTGAGAAATTCAATCCGGTTTTAACAGAAGGAGGGGGGGAGTAGCTTTTATCTATGAATTTGCAAATGCCTTGGCGATATCCCAGAAGTAAAATATTTTATCTGCATTCATTTGTTGGATTGTATAAGATTGTTATCCTAAAATAATCCTACATAACTTGGTAAAATATTTATATTTATAGCTGCAGTTCGCTTCCATACTTTATTTCTTATTCAAGCGAGATAACTCTAGATTCGACACCAATCTCGACCTACATGTATAAAGACCTTTTACATATTCCAGGGTCTCTGTATTATATTACCCATAGATCTCCTGTGTGTGTCAGTAACTTACATTTAAGAATGATTTAATAAGATAATAAAATTCGGAGGAAAAAAACAACAGGACCCAATAGAGGATGTTGCTGGAGGGTAAGGTTGCCCTAATTACAGGAGGGGCACGGGGCCTGGGTAAGGCGTTCGCCGAGGAACTGCTCAAAAATAAAGTCAAGGTACTCTATTAGAGTTTATTAATTTTTAGTAAATTCAATAATTTTATTATATTTATAACTTGAAATGCAATTGAAATTGTTAAAATCAGGATTTTTAAAAAAAATATCTACTTTTGTTTTGATATAGACTATTAATATTACCCTGGGTGATATTCAAAAAACTTATTATATTTAATTAATTAATATTCAATTTAATTTACACTATTGATTAATTAATATTTTATATATGAAATAATTGTAAATTTTATACGAGACTTTTTCTGCATATTTCTGTGTTGTATTTGTAGTCTCACATGCTGAGCAGAACACTTTCTTATTGTCTTTCTTCTGCATGCATATATGCACGATATTTAGCATGGCCGTGACTTTACCAAGTGATATAATTTCTGGTTATGACTTGAAACTTTATATGTCTCTGCTTGAAATCACATTTATTTTAGAATATTTATTGCATCTTATAATTTCCCTTTAAATATTATATAAACAAATGTGTTGCCTAAAACTGAAACATTCGGATCATTCTGACACATTCCCATTCATAAAATTATGATAGTTTATAGAGATTCTTTTAATTGAACTTTTTAACTATTGCAGATGATATTATATTTCTATAAGCCCTCTCTTTAAAAAATTTTGGTTGCCCTCTCCCGACTGACTGGCTAAAATGGCCCGACTCAAAACTTTTTTTTTCTTTACATTCAAGGACACGATTTTTTTTTTTCATTTTATTACTCTTCTGGAAAAAAGATTTTCCACCTACCTACCGACCCAATAGTTTTACCCTGAGTCGACAAACAAACATTCCATGTGTTTTAAAGATGGCCTTACAGATTTACATTAGTACTTAACTTATACGCAGGTACACACACAAAAGGGATCTTTCGACAGCTAGGAGCCTAGGACCCTGTTTTACTTTTACTAATTATAGGTATAAATAATGAACTTTAGAACAGAGGAGATTGAAGGAAATAAATGAAGACTTTTTGCTTTGTATTATAAAAAAAATTACATGACTCCAGTTCATTTTCATAGGTTTGTATATGCGACTTGAACTCCAATACCGGTGAAAAAACTATCCAAGAATGGAAACCAAGGTATGGAAACAATGCCATGTTTCTACGATGTGATGTCACGAATCATGAGCAATTCGAAGGTAATTTTTGCCCCTATTTTTCAGTTGAAAAAAAAAGGCACACAGAAAGTATTTTGTACATTGCTGCAACAATATACATGTAATGTAGCCATAGAATGTCATCATTGATATTGATAATATCTAATATTTCCTTGAGAAAAAAAAACAAATAAATGAAAATATAGTCTAGTACCATCGTTGGCAAACCATGGCCAAAATGTACGATCCTCTCCCAATCTGGTAGGAGAGAGCTATATGCGGACTCCGGACCGTGGCTTGAGACGATGGTCTTAGTATACTAGCATTGCTGATTGCAGTAACCTATCTTCAGTCTTTCTGGAAAAAAAGAAATTAGCGATCACGATCATGTTATTTGATTTGCCAGATGTCTTCAAACTGACCATTGCCCGGTTTAGGAGGCTGGACATTGTTGTGAATAATGCCGGGGTCCTCAATGAAGGCCAGTCATCTTGGAGAACTACCATCATGGTCAACGTGGTAAGTACACTTCACTTCTAATACCAAGTTTTATTTTCTACTTTAAATCTCTCCTTTTTCATTCCTTGTTGACGAGAATCGTTATCATTTATGCGTACAAAAAACTCATGAAATATCAAAATTTAGACTAGTTATTTTTATGCTGAAATGTTTTTCTGTTAGCCACACTTTTCAATATTGAGGAAGATGTATAATTATATCCCTTTGTCGAAGCATACATGAAGTTTCATGAGTTCCAAGCAAAAGGTTGACAAGCCCCTAATGGCACAACATTTGATGTGGAATATTGAAAAAAGAGGAAGAAGTACATGGACATCTATTAATTACAAACATTTCTTTTTGTTAAAATATTATCTCATATTAAATTTCTATAATCAGATTGGTGTGATAGAGGGTACGAAACTGGCAGAAAAGTACATGACCAAACAGCAAGACGGTGGAGGGGGCGTGGTCCTCAATGTCGCGTCCACAGCAGGTGCCCGTCTTCCATACTGAACAGATTCTCCGTGATAAGAAATATAACTCTATTATCTATATGTTTTTTTTAAATGAACTCTGTAGCCCAAGATAATTCGTGTCATTTTTTGACAATATGATTACTTAAATATTACTGTACTTTAAAAAATGGAATTTTAAATAAAATATGTGCATTTAAATATTCAAATATTTATCATCAGCATACTGTTACATGTAACATAACTGTATTTTAAAATTAATCACACTCTTTGTATACGCATAATAAATTGCTTCAAAGTTTATGATTTTCAAAAAAGAAATTTATTATTAAAATGCTCATAACTTCAACTTACCGTGATAGACAAAATTTGACAGAAATGACTCTTTGGCCATTGGAATTTGAGCCATTTATGCATCTGAGAGTTATCTCTCTTTTCATATGTTTGATGAATTTTCCCCCCTTAGGTTTAACCCCGGTGTTTTTTATGCCTGTATACACAGCCTCCAAGTATAGCGTCGTAGGATTTACTAGAAGTGTTGCGGTAAGCGATATTTTTTGATTACGAGAAACTTATATTTTAACGAAGAATCAAAACTATAGGATAATATAACTGTTCTGATTTTTATCTAATTAACTTGTCTTAGATGAATGCGGACATCTTCAGTACGGGTATGAGGTATGTCTGTCTGTGTCCAGGTTTCACCGAGACAAAAATGTTAGTGGAGGGAGTGAACGAAGAGGGAATAGCCGGAAATGATAAAGCGCAGGAAATTTTGCAGAGCGCAGGCACGAACACGTGAGTAGATTTTTGGTTTATTTAAGGAATCACTGTCTAAGTTTTAGTAGCCTATGCCAGGGACATCAGCGATAGTTGGAAACGTGGGACAATTTGCATAACGGCGAAGCCTTTTATGCATAAATGATCACAATTTTTCCAACTATCGTTGAGGTCTCTGGCAAACTATACTAACTAGACAGTGATTATTTTATTGTGAAAGAAAATTATGAATTTGGATTTTAAAAATATCACATATATATTGATTGACTTGTTTTGTGAATTAGGTATGGAAGAAAATTGTAACCTAAATATTTCCATTCCTAATTTTTTTCTCTGTGATAAATCTTTGAAAGTTAGCGAAATGGATTGTTTAATAATTCTATCGGAATGTAAATTAGGCAGGTCGATAGGTCAGGTCTCGTGCGCATCTGTCTGTGTGTCTGACGCTAAGGAGGCCAAATATGCATGTAAATCTTGTGCGGCTGCCATTGTGTTTGATGTCCGTGGCCAAGGAATATTGAAATTGGCATGGGAGTCCTCGAGTGATTTAAATCTATTTCTACATTTTTAAAATCTATAAAATCTACAATTTTATTTCACAATGAAATGGAAATATAAGGAATATGCCAGGGACATCAACGATAGTGGGAAACATGGGATAATTTATTCGCCCTTTATGCAAATTATCCCATGTTTCCTACTATCGTTGATTCCCTGGCATACCATACTAACTAGACTGATTTCTTAAATACCATTCAAGTATATCGTGGTATGTCATGTATTAGTTTAATGTTATTGAACAAATGACTCATATAAAAGGTTACTACAGGATTTTTTTCCTATATTGTGCCAAGACGTGGGATATTTAATCCTACATGTAGCTTCAAGACGTGGAATATATTGTGCTGCATTTAGTAGGAGTTTTTGTCGTGTGGGAGAAATAATCCCATTTTTGCAACAACCATGGGATTTCTTCCCACATGGGACAAATTATCCCATGGTATTATTTGTCCCGTGGGATTTTGGTTGGATTTCAAAAATCTCCCGCATTCTCCCATGGGATTTTAAATTTTGGGAGAAGTTTATAAGAAAATTACAACGTTGTGAAAGTTGAGATTGACATGATTAGATTAGAATAAAAAAATCCCGCCAAACTTCAGGAAAATTTTTTAAATTATGTCTTTCCGAAAGGGTACCAAAAAGTCCGGACTTTGTTGTGACCGGACTTAAATGTGGCAGTGTTATATACTAATAGATTTAATAACACAAGGTCTCCAATCACAGACACCTGACGTTACTTATTTTTCTTTTAATAAAAAAATATACCCTAACCTTATTATAAGGTAAGGGTATATTTTTTTTATTGAAAGAAAAATAAGTAACGTTAAGTGCCTGTATCTCCAGTGTCAATTTAAGTAGTCACCGCCCAGTGACTCAAACACAAAGACAGCCGCACGAGATTTTCATGCATATTAGGCCTCCTTAGCTCCTAACCTATCTCTTGGTAAAATTTACATTACTGTAGAATGATCAAGAAATCAACTCTAGTAACTTTCAAAGAGTTACATGTATCACAGAGAAAACAGATAGAGATGGAAATATATTAGATTTAAAAAGGTAAAAATGGATTTTTTTTTGTTTTCAATAGAGTCGAGTCCGTTGTTCAAGCTTTCATGCAGTTATTGACGACGGAAAACAACAATGGAGGGGTGATGGCCGTGACAAAACAGAAGGGAATACAGTATCACGGACGGCGGAGAACCAACAAACTGTAGGGAACCAGTTAGCTGTCTAGAAGAAGATGATTTATAAATACAATTAATGCAATGATGTTCAGTCAGTGTGCCATTTTGCGATTTGTAAACTTTGGGGCTCTTTCTTGAAAGCTGATTAAAACTTGCTTTACTCTAATGTTTACAAATGAATTAGATAACAATGAAACTGTTAAATAAGTTGTCATATATGCTTATAAAATGTGTATATATGAGTCTCATGTTTATCAGTTGAAGTTCTTCCTCTAACGATAAATTGTGCCATAGTAAAGAATGAAATCAAACCATGTGATACATTTTTAATTGATGATAAATACATATATTTGTATCTGTAAAATATTTTGAATTTTTATATCTAGTATATAAATGCATTAATTAAAACATGGATTTTCAGTTTATTATTTTTGTGATGATTTTACTTTTAATCATTTACTAGACTTAAAAGGGAAATGGAGAGAAATGTGTACTCTCATAAAAATTAAAGGTGTACGTAACCACCTGTTTTACTTGAGCAGTTGAATTCAGCGTAATGATGAATTCATACAAATAAACTCCAATTAATTATTTATTTGCATCTGACAGTTTATAGTTCATTCAGCTAAATGAGGTATCAGAAAAATACCAATACAAAATGTAATCAAAAAGATGACTCAATTATTTACTGTATCACCGATGTTCCTATTTAGGCGGTGCTTCCTCGCGACAGAGTACATAATACTTTTCATCATTAGAGATCAGGAAAGGTGACTGATTTATTGATTTCATTAGAACCTCTCTAAGAACGCACACGAACTTCTGACAGACGAAATGGAATCTAAATCAAGGAATTCAACCCGGTCCTGCTCTTTACTGATCTTGGATCTTAGTCGTACGAACGCTTTATCTCGTGATGTCTGGCAAGGAAGGACCCACGGGCAATCAAGGAAATAAAAATAACACAGAAAATCCAATCGATCGCGAATAAAAATAAAGTAAAAGCTGAAACAGTCGATCCGGATTGTTTTTTTGTTTGTGGAAGACAATGATTATTGATCTTCTGTGTATTTGATGCAATGGATTGAGTATCTAGGGATCGCCAGAAATAGTCAGAAAATGTACAGACCAGTCTTTGGCTTACTTTTTAAGATTTATTTAGGATTCTAGAAATAAAATTGAGCGTAATTTCTAGACAAATGTTCTTGATTTTGATGCATCGATTGGAGATACAACGTATAATCATAGTTTATCTTGGATGATTAAAGTGTCTTTTAAAGATATGGGGACATACAAATATTTTCCCCGATATCTGTAAATTAAAAAAATGTAATAACAAATACATTTATGCCACAATTAGTAATCTGTAGCTAGGAATACTGCGTACCCAAATTAGATTTCTATTACTTAAGTTATTTTGTTTTTTGTCTTCTGCCGCTTCCGCAACAGCGAGGGGGACATTAAATCTATAATTCGTCTGTCAGTCTGTCTAAAGAACTTTAACTTTGGTCATAACTTTTGAATGTGAAGATAGGGCTTTCATATTTTGTATAGGGCTTTCATATTTCACGTTTACGTTATACATTTATTGCATGATCGTGAGAGAAATTTGAAGATTTATTCAAGAAATATCATATTCCCAAACAATCATGCAATAAATCGTTTATTATACCAAAACAAGCAAACTTCTTTAAAAATAAACATAAACTTTCAAATTCGGTACCGCCCTCAAAGTAACTTTCAATTTTAATGTCATCTTAGCTAGCCAAGTCTTCCTGATACGCTACTCTGACGAGGAGATACTTGGCTAGCGAAGATGTTTTAATGTAAATTAAGTTATACATAGATCAAGATAAAAACCATTTATGAATTTAACATAGCTGCAAAAGAATAAAACGCGATTTTCAAAAAAGGGAGGCAACCCTTGAAAAGTCGTTAATAAGTAAGTGTTGACTAATTCAATTTGAATAACAAAAAATGGTTGTTTGGGGTTTTTTAACGAGGACCATGCAGTTTTTGATGTAGCCTTTGATGAAAGAAAAAAGTATATAAACGAGAACAGATCAACTGTTAAACGTATTTTGTTATACATGTACTTCGCTCTTCGTTTATTCTTTTGAAACCCTTTTATATTTCTTTTTACATGTATTTTTGGAGACCAAACTTGAAATAAAGATCAAAGAAATTGAGTTGAAAGGTAATGTATTACAATTTTTGACCTTGGTTCATTTTTGTTTTTAAATTTATGCATGGCTTTTCAATGCTTAACATTTGTGTGAGAATATAATCTCGGACGTACTAAATTCTAGTCATTCAATTTCTAGTTGCAGAAAACAGAGAGGGAAGAAGAAGAAGAAAGAATATATTAGCAAACATTGTAAAGAAATGATTGAATTCTACAGAGTTAGATAAAATATAACTTGGTATAATAAAAAGCGGCTTTCTCTCACGGACCCCAAAAGCTTTTTGTCTTCTTTGGCTAAGACAATAATAGGATATTGGTGGCGATTTTTACATCTTTAAGGATCATGTCTCTGCACCTTTTGGCAGACTTTGTGAAGAATTCCATTAACTCCTTTTTTATCTGGAGGCGTTTTATTGACATAGACCAAGGCATATTTCGGAGTTCCCCATTTCCCCCCGTCTCGACTTCAAAGTGCTTGGGTATGAATTGATGTCATTATTTTCTTTCCGCGATATCGACTTACATTTTATTTGTGGCCATTACTTTTTCTTGTAATAGGTCCGTCCTTTCCACTGTCTTTGGACAACTTTGCCTTGGAACAATTTGCAGTGCAATTTGTTTTCAGGCGATAGTAATGCGATAAAATTCCAAGACAATTCCCTTCGGTTTACATTACTTAATTGAAAGTGACAGCACATCCATTCCTCCATAATGGAAGGAAAACTAATCTGCGCAAAAGATCGGCCCCTTTAATGGTTATTAATCTGCTAAGACAGAAAACAGCTCGCTGACATGCAAAACACAGATTGTCTTTTTTTCTTCTTCAGGAAATGACGTCATTTATAAGTCGACGAAAAAGATTATCCGTGCATGGTCATCCCAAGCTTTTGTTTTAACTGAAAAATAAGCATGAATGAAAGCTGTTCATTATAGAATTTTCAGATCTCTAATATGTGCCTTTACGAATCTGAAACTGTACATTCTAAAATATCTTTTTACTCTAGCTAGATGAGGTTATTTTAATTTAAGTCTACGTTTGTATATACACAACGTACTTTGAAAATTACGACAGTATAATTATTTTCATACACATCAAACAATAGGAGGCGAGTCAGTCCATATTCACCAATCCCGCCACCTACCACTAACTACAAACAGCCATTTTTGTTGACCACTTGCACTGTAGAGAAAAGCTGCTACCGCCCTGTACAATTAAGTAAACAGTTATAAAAACGATAAAAGGAAGAAAAGTTATCCTATGGTTTTTGTAACTTTTTAAATCTATATTTTAAGTGTTTTATTATTTGAAGCATTTTGCATCATCTCAGAATCCATTTTACCAATACAAGTGTTTGTTCAGAAGTTTGCCTTAAAGTATTTCCTTCAACAGATTATAGATTCCTACATCCTATCGGGCATATTAATGATTGCCTAAATGAATGTTTCACAAATTATAAGATTACTCTTAACTTTAAACATGTATTTTTAAAATCCTATATCGACATATACTGACAGAAAAAGTTTCCCTTCATATGAATCTGAGGTCCTACGTATTTTACATCAAGTTTTTAAAACCCATTTGAGTGAGGAGACTATTTTCATTGATATCTTAATTAATGCAATTTTAAAAAATTAGGATGTATCCGGGTGCTATTAAAGGCATGAATGACTGCAAATAAACTGTTAGAATAAATAAATTCATGGATAAATAACAGATGCATGACAGAATATATTTTTGATTGAAATAAAAGTCAATGAAAACTATTGTTTGTGCATGCATTATTTTCTGGTTTTATTATTTTTTTTTTTACTGAATACAAATAAGAATTGAAAGCTGCCAATTAAGACTACTACATGTGTATAGTATTAGCTTCCTTAAACTTGATCATGAATAATGAATTTGAGGTTCCCAAATCTCTTTCTGTATTGATTTAAATAAGTTAGATTTGTATTTGAATACTAATATGCACAATACACTAATTAAACGGGCTCGTACAACCAAAAATTATAAATTTAACAAGACTTAGTACACACTTAACGTGTAACTACTCAGTATTTGACTTATTCTTTTTGGTATAAATTATAATAAAGTTGTAAATATTGAAGTCGAACATCTAGTATCTTTTTGTCATGCCCATGGTAGGCAGTCGAAAATGCTAAAAGCAAGAAAAAAACCATGTTTGTAAAAAAAAAAAATTATAGGATTTTGCCGTAAAATTCCCTCGTGTTCATATATGTACATGTAGGGTTCTTACAGACTATCAAAAGGTTAGTGATATATATAAAAAAATAAAAAGATATATAAATAAATTAACATTTTACTTTGTATTTTATACAGTGCTATTAAGCAACAAATATACATACATTTATGAATATTACAAAACGTTAGCAAAATATAGCGCTCTGGTTCATCGATTTTGTGAATAAAAAAGCTGAAAAATTAAAACGAGGAATGTTATCAAAAACGGAATGTTACCTTCGTGTTACTGCAAATATTATGGCCATAACAGAAAAACCTACGAAAACACAAGATAACTTTTTAACTTCTTTGTTTCCATTGAGTTCTTTGTAAAGAATGTCAAAAAAGATAATATAGAACAAAGTTCCAGTTGCAAGACTCTGTAAAATTGCGTCCGGAAGTAACACGTCTTCATACAGTTGCGCACCTGTCGAAATGGCGATCCCGATTATAATTCCCACCGCTGCTAAGACAGAAAACGAAGATACGCTGAAGATCATAGTACGATGTTTGACATCGTTTCTCATATGATCAAGTCCCATGCCAAAAGCTAAGATCCCACGATGTATTGTAATGGCAAAACACAAAACCCACACATTACTCTCCATGCTCTGAAGTCCGAGCGTCATCCCTTCGAACACGCCGTGAAAAGATAAGGCTGTGATAAAAATAGCTGACCTCATCTGACCTTTTCCAGAGTCATCTCCCCTGCTGAGCTCTGAGACTACTGTCTTAACAGGCAAGTCTTGGAGCGGGGCGGGTTCGATGTCTGACTCCTGGGCCTCTTTCGTTTCCTCCTGTTCCGCTGATTTTATAAACGTGTTATGTTCGGCTTGTAAAGTATCCTGCATATTAATAGAATTCATGCTTTGTTCATCGAGGTCACTTTCACTTCCTGCGAATCTACAACTACTAAATGTAAACATGTCTCCTTCACCATATTCTCGATCTCGGTCAGTTAAACGTTGAAGCTTTCTATAAAGTGATCTAATGGCGTGTTC